TATAGCAAAGCTCAAGTGAAACTGGTCGATTTGAAATGAAACAATTGACGACACCCGTCAATTGTTTTGAAGTCGGGCTGGCCAATCGGAGCGCAGTTGTCGCCGTAATGATGTGGCAGAATAGTTTTCAAACAATTTAAATGACTTTTCTTTCTGGTTGTACGCCTGATGATTTTGTAATGACAGAAGAGGATCTATAGTAAAACTTGTTAATATTGATAGATTGGTACTGCCCTCTAATATACTTATGTTACTTATGCATCCAGTTTGACCTCGGTTGTCAACTTGGCAGACGAGGTCCATCAAAGCATTGTTGATAGCTTTCTGAGCAGAAACGATTTTCATCACGATGACCATGAACTGCAGTTCCAGAGGAAATGTCGCCATAAACTCCAAGTAGAAGCACAAGTACAAGCAAAGCACTTTCACTGAAATTGACAAACTTGTTCAGACTCTAGCTGCTATAGATGTAAAGATTTAATTCGCTTCCTTTTATGGCATACAGACAGTATCTGTGGTCAGTAGTGGGGGTTGAGATGAGAATTTAGTAACTTGCTCACAAATGGTGAACAGAGTGCTGAGAACATGGTAAGATGAGAATGTGGTGAGCTGAGAATATGGTGAGTTGAAAATTTAGTAACCTGCTTACAAAGGGGGACGATATTGAAGATTGTAACGACTTAGTTAAATCTATTATATTAATAGTAGCACTAGCAGCAGCTTTCAAAAGCAGGAATGTGACTATTACTGCGTGCCGGTATTGAAGAGAGGATACTGAGGAAAGAAACTATGTATCTGACAAATGGTCAAATGTCCGTTTTATATAGAAAAAGATAGAGAACAGAATTATCTTTTGAAAACAGTTAACATTATTTAACGTGTTCAAACATACTCTAACAATGCATAGTTGAAGTATCATTAAACAATTTCTGTGTGTGTGCGTTATTTAATTCTTTATTGCACAGAGAAAAGGCACAAGCTACAAAGAACATATACAAAGGTGAGCTTATATCTAGAATCTTCCACCCTACAGGAACACAGGATTTGACGACTGTACAGTCACAGACTCAGGGTGATGGGTTTTTTTTATAATGCCAAGTGACGAACAAGTCGTCCGCCTGGTGGTAAGCGACACGCCATTCCATAACAGTTGCAGTACCACACAGAGCTTTAAATCGTAAAGATCGTCAGGAGCACTGCCATTGCGTCCGTCACCTTGAGATATAAGGTGACAAGTCCTTTGCCTGTAATTTCACCAGTACCCTTACACTTCCAAACTGGAACGCAGTAATGTTCACATTACTAGGCCTATCAATTGCCACATAAGGTCCACTATTGCGTGTGTGTGTGTGTCTGCCTACATGTGCATAGAGTACTTCAAGCAGTTAATGCTATATTTCGATAAAACTTTGTATATATACTTACTATCTTTTCCATCAAGTAACGCCTCATAAACAAAAGTATAGAAATCAAATATGTATAAGGAATTCCCAATTAACAGATACATTATTCCAATAATAAGTACCGTTCGTTCTATATGTTTGCCTGGAATATATTTATGAATCCCGGAGTTTATCTGTCAAAAATTTATGAAAAAGGATAAAAAAATACAGCACAAAAATTTTCTATGATTCCATTAAACAGTATAGGAACCAAATATGGACCTTGCGGAACAGCGACTTCATCTTTGAAACGAAAATGTTGTATTTAATAGTCATTAGCATCTATATACAGACAAAATATAGAAAGTAAATAAATAAATTAATCCGTGGTAACCTAATGATTTGGTCTACCGCCTCTCAAGTAGGGGCTGTGGGTTCGGATCTGGGTTCGCAACTCTAAATTTCTCGAAATTTATGTGCGAAATTTACTTTGAAACGTCGTGATGAAACCTGCGCGTCGGAGAAGGTTCACAACCTTTGGACAACGTGTGAAGTCCGCAATCCGCTTTGGCCCTGTGTGGCGGACTATGGCACAAACCCACTCCTGAGAGGAGACTCGTGCCCAGCAGTGGAACGTATAAATGCGATGATGATGATAATAAGTAAATTACAGAACAATAAATAATAATATTATCTCTGATTAGCAAACAAATGAATGGTTTTATGTAACAAAGCTAGGTTTATTGCTGTTTACTGTTCATAACCTGTTTCTTCAACCTAGTCGACCCCTTTCAAAAGTTCAAAGAGACCACGGACCTTTTTCGAAAAGACAAGCACAGTTTACCTATTTACTCACAACACATAGTACGTATTTTTTTATATTAATGCATTATGTTACGTAGGCTCGCTATGGACTCCCAGCGTTCATGAGACGAACCCCTTAGGGGTCCATGGACTACAGGTTAAGAAACCCTGTTATAGGGGTATATTCTCGTAATTTTTTTTGCTATACTTAATACTTTTTGAGACATTAATGTGCTCTGTGCTGTTCAGTTCTTTTAGCCATAAATATGCGGCTGTAGTAACATGACCCGTGAATTTTATTATTTTGTCAGGAGGAGCAATATTTAAAAAAAATCTCTAATCGGGACATTGACTTTAATAGCAATTCAGCGAGCTTGAGCGAGAAATCGTGTTTGCGTTGCAGTGCTAATAACTCTATGTAAGCTGCAATACAGTTCAATATTACATAATATACAAATATTTCAATTCTCGCTTCGCACATCCTCGTCAATCCAGACTATTCCACCGAAGATGTGCTAGGAGGTATGGCAAAATTTTGCCATACAAATTTCAATCCTCGTCTCGCGTCGTTTCGTCTCGTCTTGCCGGTGAAAAACTACCTTAATTGTGAACCTTCCTCAGTAAATTTACTTACGAAACGTAGAGCTGTTGGAGTTGATAACGCATGCATTATCCTTTATTGTGCAAAAATAGTCTTTGTTTTTATTGTACTTTAAGTATCACATGTGTAACCGTGCTTATCGTTTTGCAATAAATAGCCTCTTACGTGTAAATTGAGATATAAACAAACTCATACCTTTTCAATAACATTCAAGCAGTGTACCATACAGTTCATTCGTCCCGGCCCGTTGTAAACGCCAAAAGTCATCAAAACACATACTACCACAAGTTCTGTGAGCCACATTAGAGAAGCAATTGCTGAGCGCACGCGCACACATCTCTCTGGATCTACATAGAAGTCTAAGACGACACCTGATATAATGCCAGTATCTGTGGGTAATTTATATTTTAATTTGATGTAACACTAATTAATATTAACTATAGTAGATTTTATCAAGTGGGAGCAAAAAGTAAGTTTTGTTATCTGTAAATTATTAACAACCTTTTAATAATGCTTTTTAATAAAAATTTTAATTTCATACAAAAATAAAAATACTTAAATAGACCAATTCTAAATGGTGATAACACTGTGCAAAATGCAGGAACAGGGGATATGCCAGATATTACCTACAACAATAAGTGAAAAGTTTATTTTCGGTAAATTTATTGTGTTTTGTGAAAAGCTATGGAGCAAAAGTTGTTGTTTACGATGTTAGTAATATAGTCCTGCGTGATTGTTAGTATTTTACGAATAACCTTTACTTTAAAATCCATCTTCGACTTCCTACGCCAGTAGTTTGTCCTACGATGCAGTAAAACCATTTCCGGATATCCGGAATTTGAAAAAATAATTAGGTAATATTTGGTGGTTTTAACAATTCTATGTCGCCTCTTGTGGCTATGTCTGTACATGTATCTATATGTGGAACACCTTTTTCCGACCTATGATTATAAGAAATTCTATACAAATGCAGAGCATCGGTGTCTTTATTGATAGGGGTATATATACTACAATTATCATCCCGCTTGCCTAGAAAAATGGAGAGACACCTAACAATAAACCATTACAGAGTAATCTAATAAAGAAATAAGCAGTGATGTATGCAATAATGTAGGCTACATTGGACCACAGTAATGTGGAAAGAGTAGGCAGATTAATGTTGACAACACTTACGAAGAACAAACAAAAGGAGGTTGCTATAAGCATACATCCCAGGCGAAACTTTGACAAATATAGAATGGCCTTGTTTTTCGAAGGACACTGGGGCGACTCCAAATAATCTTGATATGCGTAGAGTTAAAACCAACGAACTGTCGAGTGAGCATTTTGGACGTGATCGTTTTATTGAAAATGTTTTTTTGTCTTGCGATTGTTTTTCTGTTGAGGAAGAAAATGTCAAAGCTAAATTGGGTATTCAATTACGATATCCCTAATTAACTATATGTAGTCTTGGAATGTGATCAGGAGGATCAAGTCAGACGGCCAAAGCAGGCGTAACCTCTTCAGGAGTTGACCTGCTTTGGACACAGGACTGACTGACTGGTGTTTTGTTATTGTTTGGTTTCTTTTTAACTAGTAAATGATTTTCCGACGTCGGTCGCAACGCAGTTTTAAGTATGTATTACTTACCGCCATTAAAATTTTGACCAGGCTTTGATTTTACAAATATATTCATGGTTCGAACTTTATTTATTTCTCAGTTGCCAAAATGATGTTTTGTTTGACTTTCTTTAATTGCGATCCAGTGTAAATTTCTAATTTCTTTATTCATTTATTAATTATTTTAGGTAAATTACAATGAGTGTACCGTAAAGGGCTCCACAATCTTTTGTCCTGAGTCCTGTCACTATCGTCATTTTAGTCAAATTTTCCATTAAGTAGTGATTTGTTTTTATTTATTTTGTCCACAGTGATGTTTACACACCTAATGTAAAACTTGAGCTAGATGTGGCAATAAAATAATATAAATACAACACAATAGCCTTGATATTGTATGGATAACCTGGCAATATTACGATAGCAATATACTATACTATGGCAATATAGTCTCTATTACGATACCAAAGTAGAAGACACAGTTGTAGTATTGAAGGTTTTGTACAAATTTGTATTTTTTTCTGAGTTTGATATTGATTGTGTGCGTACTTATGTTTATGGAAAATAATTAGGCATTGCATAATAGGCAATCGGACAATAATCTGAAAAAATCTAAAATATAGTTAGAAAGAACGTTAGTATAATAAAAATGATCGTTCAAGCAAAGATTTTTGTGAAATAATATTTATATTTTTAAATCCGAAAATTTTAATAATCTGTTTTTAAACATTACACACCATGTGACGTCATTTGCAGGTAAGCAAAGAAGCGTATTCATCTCTGTATTCACCACTCGCGTATGTACTATCTTGTGTTTTTTGTCCCCGTCATCATTTTTTAAGTAAAATATGTAAACATTTTCAATTGAGGACAGTATTTTTAATATTTATATTTATGTAAGCGACGCGCCAGTCCATAGCAGTTCTAGTGCCACTCAGAACTTTGTATCACAAGATCTAAGGGGCACTGAGGGAAAGTTGACGTTTGTGCGGCATTTTTTTATTATGATATTTTTCTTGGCTGTGTATACTCATTATAATTAATTTTAAATATTTCTAAAAAGCTGTGTGGTTCCGTATTATGTGAAAGATTGACGTCTTTTTGGATTAAGGGCTCCAAATTTCGACTCGCCTTATTAAGCGGGCGCAGCCACATATAAGTTTTCCTAAAACTACTTTCTTAGGATCATATTGACACATAGCTTTCCCCAAAAATGTGACGTGTGTGTGTATATGTGTTGGTGAAATTACAGGCACATTGGACTTGTCGACTTGTGTCTCTGGGTGACTGGCGCGGTGGCGGTCTCCTTAGATCTTTGCACTTTGCGATCTCTTATGCAATTATTATGGCCGGGGGTGTCGCTCACCACCAGGCGCAGGACTTGTTTGTCACGTATCATAAAAAAGAGGTAGATTTTGTCCTGAGCCATTTCCAGAAGTTGTATATCTCATTGAACTAAAAGTTATTTTCGTAAAGGACAGTTTACACACGTAATATTTTCTTTGTAGCGACTTAATATTTATATTGTTAATATTTAGTTTATGTATAAAATATTGAATAATGTATGTTTGTGTTTGATGTTAAACACCGAAGTCAAATTATTGTTATTATTATTCAAATTATTGTAAATTATTTTTGTATTGTATATAATGGTTACTAAGAAATTTCAATATTTTTGTTTTCTAAATTTAATTTGATGATGATGACGTAAAGGTGTTCCACATATCTAGATACATGTATAGAGATAGCTACTTGGAGCGACAAATAGTTGTAAAAATCACCAAATGTTACTTAATTATTGTTTCGAATTCCGGGTATCCGTAAATAGTGTTACTGCATCGTAGGACAAAGTACTGACCTAGGAAGTCGAAGTTGGATTTTAAAGTATATATAATTCTAATGGTATCTAGTTACATACAGTTGTTAAAACCACTAAATATTAGTTAATTGCTTTTTCGAATTCCGGATTTCCGGAAATGTTTTAACTGCATCATAAGACAAAACGACTGAGCTTGGAAGTACTTGGAATTTGAAGTAATTCTATTGGTCCGCGTAAAAAAATGCAGTGGATAACTGACTGTTGCCGTTCCGTCAATATGACCGTCAAATATATTATCCGGGGCGCAGTATGGTCTCTAAAGCTAGGGAGGGGCGGAGAGTGACCATTCTCGTTAATTTTTTATTCTCTGCTTTGGTAAAAGATCAGTTATCGTCCTCGGCAAACAGTACGCATAGAGAATGGTTGCAATAGTGTGTATAAGGTTTATGTTTGGCCTTCGTATATATGACCGAATCTCACACTATCGCAGTCGGTTCAAGTGGCTTCCTATTCGTCTTCGCAGGAATTTGCATATTGTCTCCGTTCATTATAATATTCTTCATAATCCTGTGTCCTCCGGGTATCTGAAGAGCGATTTAGCTTATCTTATCTTTTCTTCACTTATCACTTATCTTTTCCAACCTTCAATTCCGGTTTTTATTCTCATTCCTACACTGTTCATGCGGTCAGACTTTGGAAGGCACTTCCCGTTACTGTTCACAAAAGTAAATCCTTAGCTATTTTCAAAATGAGAGTTAAGGGACACTATTTATCCGCTGTTCCATCCATATTATGAGCATTGTATTACGTATAAATTTATATATAGTTTATAATAATGCAATGTTATTGATATTGTTTTTTATTACATAATTTTGTTTTGTTGTGCACGTTCACCCGTTGTTGTAATTTATTGTGTTCTGTATTTTGGTCTGCAGGAAGAAACTTCTTTTTTTAGAATTAAGCAGTACGTTTTGTTTGTGTTCTCCTTGTTTATAAATGTGACTTGTGTTTCCCTGTGCAATTTTTTCCATCCTCTAAGTGTGCAATACATGATTAAATAAATAATTAACGTATCTGATATTTTAGGTAGACCATTTACATAGATTATAAACAGGATACATCCTTTCACACCACCTTGCGGGATTGAATAGTTAGTGGTGACTACTTCTTACAGTACGGTCTTTAGTTCGCCAGAATTATCCTCAAGGTGGTCAATTTGGACGCATTGCTTTCGTTCAGATAAATACGATTTATGATCTATTTAAGAGCATTGCCCCTTATGCCGTCCCTGTACTCTCGAATAAGTAATACTCGACCAAAAGTCGCATGATGCGAATGCAGCTTCGTCCTTGACATTGTCTTTTGATATTGTCGAGTATTACCAATTTATTTGCCAGTAATTGTTTTGGACGGATGTTGGACGGAGCAGGAGAGTAGACTCCCTGCTCCGTGCAGCTTGTTGAGTAGGACTGCATGCGAAACTCTGTCATATGCTTTTGACATGTCGAGGATAATTTTGACTGCCTAGTTTTTGTCATTGATGTATGTCTTTTGTACATATCTGTATACCGCCTTAGGTGTAGATCATTGACTTACAATTATATGGACGTCGGGTCCGCGCTAAAAAATGTCCGAACTTATATGGCGTTAAAATCGTATACAGAGCGTCATTCACGCTCTAGTCTTCGTTTGTTCGACTGACAGCGAAGCAAGCAAAATTAGACAGTACTGTGATGACATTACAATTTAAAAGCTTTTTCATATTCCTTTACATGTCACTACGTTTAAATAGGTTGACTTGGGACATTTTTTTTGTGGTTTTTGTATTAGACCCGTCGTCCATTTATTTGTAAGTCAATGGTGTAGATCGTTTTTTTCTGAACCCATATTGATTACCATCAAATTATGATTCAGTTAGTCATAATTTTTTTAAATAGGTAAAACAGGTTGAAGCACTATACTGCCGTCCACTAACTATAACGCGGCTAAGTGATAAAAGATCAAATATCTCTTTTAAAAACTTGTTTGACTTATCGAAACTTACCCTAACGAAGCATAGCTGAAATATCATTAAACAATTTTAATAGGTAACCTATCACAAAGTCGAAAATTTTTTTGTCCGAAATAGCGTTTGTTCGAATTTTCATTACATCGAAAACTGAATTATAACAAAACAGTTGTTCTTTCAGGATTTGTTGAATGTTTATCGCAAAGACACGATTAGGTTCGATTAGGGTAGGTTAAGTTGGGAGGAGGCCCTCCGATCGGCCAGATACGGGGAGCGCAAAGTCCAGGCGCTGCTCCCTGTACTGGCCGATTGGAGGAAGAGGAGACACGGGTCCCTCACCTACCGTCTTGTTCAGGTACTCACCGAACACGGCTGTTTCGGTGACTGCCTGCACAAGATCGCACGGAGAGAGGTGACCCCGAAGTGTCACGAGTGCAGCGTTGCTACAGACTCGGCGAGCCACACCTTGGAGGTGTGCCCGACCTGGAGCCAGCAGCGCCGGGATCTCATAGAGCTGTTGGGACGAGACCTCTCACTGCCCAGCATAGTTAGAGTCATGCTGGGAAGCGAGAGGTCATGGCAGGCGATGGTCTGCGAGGACGTGATGTCGCAGAAGAAGACGGCCGAACGGGTCCACGAAGATAGCGCCTTCTCCTCTCGGCGTTTTTAGTAGGTATGTTCTTGGGGACCGGCATAGTCCCCAGGAGAGAGTCCCACATATGGAATGCGTAACGCATTTTTCTTAAGGTTATAAAAAAAAGGTTAGGTTAAGTTAGGTTTAAAAGAAAAAACATTTTCCTCTCAAAATTACTTACGAGGTTATGAAAATTCGAGCAAACGTTACTTCTGGAAAATGTCATTTCAGACTACTGATAGGTACCATTTCAATATTCTGAAAAATTATTTTGTCAGTTAGCCGCGTTTGAGTTAGCGGACGACAGTATAGGCCTTTATTGGCTGAGGTCGTTAGTTATGGTGACGTTTTAAAATTTGTTTAATTTTATATATTTATTTATTTATTTATTTATTGAGGTATACCAACAGCATAAATATAATATTATACAAAAAGGTTACATAATTAATAGAATTAGTCTTATATATATGCCTATTACTGGTACACACAACTTTGTCGAACTTAGTTAGTAGAACTAAACTAGAATTTTATAAAAACATATGGAAAACAAAACAATAAAATCATACCCTTTTTTTAAACAAAACAAAAACAAACCAAAAACAAACCATACAAAAAAAAAACCCATACGGAATTACAAATTAGGATGTTGCTTCGAGTACTGTCAACAGTTTCAATTTAAACATATATATTTTTAATATATATATATTTTTAATTTACCAATGAAAGTACCTTAATTATAGGATTCATTTATTAGAATGTTAATAGTGGAGTTAGTTCGTGTATACAAGCCTTAATCAGTACGGAATATCATCATATATCATCAATGACAGCAGAAGAGCTCCTTGTGAAAGAGTTCATCCAGGGAAGTGCCACATTACCTATTTCTGCCGCCGCAGAAAGCAGTAATATCAGCATTTGGTTTTGAAGGGTAAGGGTGATGGTGAAATTGTAGGCTCATGGAACTTGTCAACTTATGTCTCAGGGTGACGAGCGCAGTGGTAGTGCCCCTCAGATCTTTGCAATTTAAAGTTCTAAGTGACAGTGGAATTTTGACCTTTTTCAGAGATACAATCTGTAGTATGGAGATTAACAATCCTCTTGAGTTAAGTATTGGTTCACAGTATAAATAATAAATTTGGTAGGGCTAAATAACAAAGCTTTATTATTGTAACTACTGCTATTAAAGATCTGAGTGGCATTGCAATTGTAGTAGCTTATCATCAGACGTACGACTTGTTCGTCCCGTCACTTGAATTATAAAAAAACCGCAACTTAACACATTGGGCAGGTTGAGGGTTAAGTTATAAATCTCTTTCTCCGTCACAGGTTGTAACAACATTAACATTTACAGCAGGTGTTATTACTGGACCGCATTGTGGTGGTACCGTTCCAACGCGACATGGGGTATATCCTACTGATGCAAAGCATTGATTACAGTATTTAATGTAAAAATTATTTATAAGTTTCCATTGGGTCTACTGTTTGAACGATTATTTTAATACTTTACATATAAGTCTATTAAACACACATATATTTTACATGTTTTATTTGAATAGTGCCTATTTTAAAACTAGAAGGTTTTGTTGAAACCTCTGAAGACATTTCTCCAAATCCTTTTACTACAATGTGTCTTACGAATGGAATAAAAATGAAATCAAATGTGTAACAAAATTATTTTACAATATTTTGTTATTGATATGACAAATCTAACAGCACAGCACATTGTAACACATAACAAACACGTAACTAACATGTAACAAAGCGTGTTGGTATCCATCTACCAATTTTGTTGGTCCAACGCTCTAAATTGTAAAATTATCACCAGATACGTGGTGACACCACCGAAAATCTGAAAATAAAAACTTAGAGTCAAAAGAAGAGTCTCTTCGTCGAGCAGTCAACAGCCCCTGAGGATGCCTCGTGGAGATGCGAAACACGTGTCGGGTATATTTTTGGTGATGGTTTGTGACTATAGTTGCGCTTGTGTTTTTTATTTTATTAATTTTATACGGAGGGATGGTGGGATAATTAACTGCATGAAAAATATTCAACACAAACGCAGCTATTTTGCACGATTTTACCGTCACTGGGTTCGTGGTGTAGCTAATTAATTTACTTCCATTTTTATTAACATGGACTTCCGCAAAGTAACGCCTGAATCTATTAATTAAATAAAAACTTGTTTAGTTAAAGTTCTAGTAGCTTTTGTTCTGTTTGGTGTGAAACTCGGAAACGGATGTCTGGTATATTTACTACGAATTTATAAAAAATATTACCGTGGTAATAATGGATCGCTTAAGAGAGCAAATTCCCATTGGTGTGAAAGAAGCAGCGTTGAGTACGATCTGCTTGTGAAATAGGTCCAGTTCATGAAAAAGAGGTTCACCAGGTCGCGTAACTCTGCGCGTCAGTTGGCTTAATAAAATTTTGGTGTTTTCCATCTGTCATGAACGAAAATATTACTTACACACAGTGCAGGGATTTCAACTTTTTTTAAAACAAAATAATTAGTATGTGCTTTAGAAGAACCAAGTACACGCTGTGCTAAGGACTCTAGTCGATGATGGACTGTTTTGTTTACCGTGATACAAAATTTATGCTTTAAATAAAAATAAAAATAAAAATGTACCTCTTCAGTGCACCGGTGTGCTGGTTCAATGATGATCATCATGTTGAAGGTGTGGAATATACACATACCTATCTGAAGCTTGGCACTGACCACCCAGTGTTTTGTGCTAACTGTCCATAAAAATTAATAAGTAAGTGTAGGCATCAAGTTTTCTAAATAGAAATATTAGAAAATAAAAAATCAAGACTAAAACAGCTTAAAAAACAGATACTGATGTGTCAATTGGCAATGAGTTGACCAAACTTGCTGTAAAATCGGTAAAGGTCAGAGCTTGCCTCCAACCTAGTAAACATGAGACTGCTGGTGAACGATGATTTACTTACTAAGTATTATCATGTTTGTGGTAATGCTTGTATGGACAGAAACTTGACATCACGTTGCCCGAAACATTAGATTTTGAATTATGTGATTTTGGTATACATATCAAAGTATCAACTTACCCCAAAAAGATATTAAGTAGTAAGGTGACACAATTAAGTGTAGAAAGAAGGATAAAAGCAGTACAACAAGAAGGATCGCATTGGAATCGTTTATCTGTCTCACCACGTCGCATATGGCACCATAGGACACAATGAGATAGCGAAACAATTTTGTATCTTTCTTCGATATTTGAGAAGCTGAAAAAGTATAGGCATAATGGTTAGCATTAAGAACAGACGTAACCTGTAAACATAGCAGTAATTTAAAGCCTCTTTTGGCCCGTAATCCGGCAAAAATCAACCTATACCGAGACTCGGTTACATTTCTAAGAGATTGGTTACCTGATTCTTTAACATACTTCGTAGTATTTTTGGAGCTATTGTCAGCTTCATCAACATTTGCTTTGTCGAGTAGATAATCAAAGTTAACAACTTTTACGTTGTACTTTTCTGTAAATTATAATAGCAATTAATCTTGGAATTACGTGGAATTACATCTATTTGCCAAGTTTTATTTAAATATCTCCTAGTTCGCCACACTATACAGGACTTGACACAGGAGATAATAAAAATCGGTTCTCACTACTCAAAGTATACTGAGAGAGAAAAACGCCTTGAATTGGAGAATAGCAAAACTACCCATTAAAATAATTGCTCCTTAAGTAAAACTTAGGCGCTATTTATAAAAATGAATGTTCATGCGTGATCAGCCGACCTTTGAGATGGACGGTTTTCTTCAAAATGAAATGGGACCACTATGGAGGACCCTGTTTCTAACAAAAAATAATCATGAAAATTGATTCACAAATACCGGAGTTATCGCGTAACATACATACAAAAAAACACAGTCGAATTGAGAACCTCCTCCTTTTTTAAAGTCGCTTACAAATGGTTGATACTATCATCGATTAAAGTTAAGTTTGTCGTTAAAACTTGAAATTTATCCAGTAGAAATACCTCGTGAGTCAATTTGACAGACGAACTCCGCCAAAGCATTGTTGATAGCTTTTTGAGCAGATACGATTTTCATCACGATGTCCATGAACTGCAGTTCCAGGGGAAACGTCGCCATGAACTCCAAGTAGAAGCACAAGTACAGGCAAACCACATTCACTGAAATGGACAGATACTTCGTCTTATTGGGCGCTGCATTAGTATTGTAGATAGATTTAATTACTTTTCTTTAATGGTGTTCAGTTCCTGATGAAAAGAAGCTATTTGACTTTATCAAAGACACGCTAATTTACTTACTGTCTTTTCCATCAAGTAAGGCCTCATAAACAAACGTATAGAAATCAAATACGTATAAGGAATTCCCAATTAACAGAAACAGAATTCCAATTATAAGTAACGTTCGTTCTATATGTTTTCCTGGAAGATGTTTTTGAATTTTGGAGTTTACCTGCCAATCAAAATTTATTTTATTCTTATTAAATAAAAAATTACTCACGGTTGTAGAAAAACACGTCAATATATATCTACCTATATTAAAGAGAATAGGAAACAAACATGAATCTTGCGGAACACCTGAGGTGGGTAAGGGCGAATGGTGGAAGAGTGCATCGAAGAGGATCTTAATATGCCCGCCGCCGCATACTGATGAGGGACATGCTTTACGAAATCACGAGCGTCTGTCGACGTACCGGAATACAACGTACGGGAGAGAACCTCCCTTTTGCCGCTACCCTGGCGCATTCAGACGGACTTCGGTGCATAACCTGTGGGTTTCCTCTAACGTGCTCTTTATACCGCAAAAAGAAATGCGCTGCGATGCTTCGAGGTCGATCGCACAATATTGGAATTTGTACCTTATTTCAATTGTACTAGCATAAAATGTACGTTAATAAATTTGATATTTTCTGCCTTTCCGTCCGCTGGTTTGCGCTGGTCCAAAGTGTTATAAAATAATCATCAACTTTATTAAGTGTACCGACCATATTTAGACACAAAAACAATGGACACAGCCTGAAAATTGAAAAGCAGTTTAATTAATAAACTGATCACTCCTAGAAGCAGCTGACGATGCAATCAGCGAAGTGCCTAGTTGTGAAAATATTCCTGAATATTTTTATGTATGGCGTGTAATAAATAGCTGGATATTTACTAATCAACTAAAATATTAGAAGGCATACCTTTTCAATAACATTCAAACAGTGTATCATACAATTCACCCGTTTCGGCCCGTAGTAGACGGCAAAAGTAATCAAAACGGTTACTACCACCAGTTCTGTGAGCCACGCTAGAGAAGAAGTTGCTGATCGTACGCGAACAGTTCGGTGTGAAGCTACATTCAGGTCTAAGACTAGACCTGATATAATACTAGCATCTGTAGGCAATTAATTTTTTATTATTATGATGAATAAATATTCGATTATGTATTTACGGTGAGAGAAACATATCGCACCCTTGGTCACTTGACAACTTTTGAGGAGAGAGGTATAATGTTTCTAAGAAGGAAATTAGTCGATAACTTTTTATGTATAAATACAAAAGTTACAAAGTTTGACATATTCACAATTTGTTTCTTGTTGTTTGTACTATTTTTAAGACTTTCATGTGATATGCACTTTTGATGATCACGTGTGGCTTTATTATATATACCAAGAGTATGCGACGTTCAATCGGGAGTGCAGCGAAAGATTCTAGGATAATTTTTTTTTATAGAAAACAAAACCGCCTACCTTGTCTTCTTTCTGAAGTAACTGAAATCCTTGGATTTCGCAGTATGTCTGTGTGGGTGACCTTGAAGGATTTAGACTTTTGGACTGAAGGAAATTTTCAGGTATAATTTTGTAGACTGTTGTGCATTAGATAGCAAATTTATGGCAATTATCCTCCCTGCTGTCAAGTTACAATGGCAAATGTAATTTTTCCAGAGATGCCTTTAATCTAACTGCTATGGACTGATAGATGAGGAACATTTGTGTCACTTGTTTTTGAATGATATGTGGTTTTATTTACTAATTGCGATTTGTATTGAAGGTGAAGGAAAAAGCACTTACGTTGGATCACCGTAAACAGGCGGTGGTCTAACGCAGTGAATCTTTTAACAATAACATTGTAGCCAGATGAATTAATAAAACTTACGAAGAGCAAGCAGAAGGAAACAGCTAAAGGCGTACATCGCCGGTGATACACTGACAAATATAGAGTTGCGTTTCTTCTTGAAAGACACCGGGGCGACTCCAAAAAATCTTGATACGTATAGAGTTAGCGCTAGTGATCTGTCGACCGAGCATTCTGCACGAGATCGTTTAATTGGAAATGATTTGCTGTCTTGCAACTCTTTTTCTGTTGAGGATCAAAATGTAAAAGCTGAGTTGTATATATAAATGTGGCCCATTATGTCCCGAATCGAGACTGTGATGTTGTTTTTTAAAAGCTGTGCCCACTATAGTACTACTGACTGACTAATAAGGTATTCTGTATATATTTTTTATCTTTGTCGAACTTTTCTTTTTAACAATTAATTGATTTTCAAACGCTGTCTCAAGGCAAACCAAAAATCTTTTTTGAACAGCTTAAGCTTAAGCTTTTTCTTTCCACTTACCATCGTCCAAATTTGGATCAGGGTGTGAATTTACAAATATATTCATGATTGTGGCTTTATTTACTTCTCAGTTCATAAATTCTTTTTCGTCTATATTTACGGCAGGGGTTTAATACCAAAGTACTCTCAAATTATTTCAAACGTTTAATAATGAGTGAACTGTATACGTCTCTGCATGGTTAGTCCAGTACCTATCGCTGCTGGCGATGGCGTCCGATTTGTCGAAACTTGATATGTTTTTATTTGCTTTAAATATGGTAACATTTTGACACCACGGTGTAAATCTTGGACTAGATGTGATTAGAAAACGTATATTTAAATAATGAAGAGTTTTGACACAAAATTATTACCCTTGATTTTGTAGTAGGAACGTATTAATTATATTAATCTATTCTGATTGAGAAGTTGGAGATTTAATTACAGGATCCCTTACAATCTCCAATTAAATTCTTTTCCAAGTTGCAGACCAGGGTAAGGAGTGATCAATCTATATTTATGCGTATAAAATATTCTATACTATGGAATGAATGCTGTACAGAAGCGTGTACCTGTGCATTTTCATGGCAATCATCCTCCCTCTTGCTCCTTCCCCAAAAACATCAATTCATGCTTCAGTATAGGATTACTATTTTTGTAGGCGTTCAGATCGATGATTGTACTATTCCATTTCCAGAAATGATTTAGCTCTTTGAACACAGAGTTGTTTTCATAAGCAATAGTTTACATACAAAACTATTTATATACATATGTTTGTTAACCACCTAAATCGAATCATAAAATTTATGTTTACTGAGAAAACTGAACAGTATATTCCTTGTAGTTTCATTTATTGATATTTGTGACTTAAGTGTAAATAAATACTAACGAATGATTTAAAGAAGACGGAATTTATAGATTAGACCTTCGTACATCGTCATGTTGAAAAATTTTACAGAACTAATTATTTCACGGCCTTTGATTTCAAAGGTCAATAATGGCGCCATTATTTCGGACTTAAAAATTACTTCAAAAAACTTTTATTAAATTTCCTCATACCAAGGCATACATAATTTTTACTCTAACTTTGTCCTGATCATGCACCGTCACTAAGTCCTCGAAGTCTAGACCTGCTGATCCAAACTTATTTATACTTATTTAAAATTATTATTGATCGTTACTACCACCTCCTTCACCCAATTCTACTTTTTTTTAAAGCGTATGATAACTACTACAACTTTTCGGATTTACTAAAAAGTAAATAAATGTAAAACAGCGCGACAGTGTCTCATTGAAATTGCAACTTCATATCATATCTTTGACAAAATGAAGAACGTCATTAAATTATTATTACCTCCTGCTCTCTTCCTTTCTCTAGTAGGATTAGTTTCTCATACTTTGAAGCAGTTCCTAAGCTTGTTACTAGATGGCATTCACCCAAATTGCGAGGTTTCTGGCCTACGGTTTTATATTATTGAGGCATGATGACTAAGTTGTGATAATATCTCGGAGTACGCCTGTGTTGATGCAGGAGGTTTATTTTAACTATGTAACACTTGTTGGAACACTTAAAACAAATATCGTAGGAAGACCTATACTTCAGAGATGCTTTATTTTGTGTATGGTTTGGTATAGATAGATGCAGAAGTAAAATGAAGCGTATAATCAATACACCCACAACTTCTCTGCTTTAATCGTAAGAAAGTAAATAAGGAATAAATGTAAAAGTAGTAGTAAGTAAGTAAGTAACGTAACAGTGTTTTCTCGTGTAGAGATTGCTAACTTCTGAGTACTGTAATAATATCTTCGACATATACATTGGCTGAGACGAAAAATATACTGTATCATTCATTGACTTACATATAGTATTATTGCATTTTATTGGTTCCATTCGCGAACTTGCAAAGTTTGTATTTATTTATCATGACTTTTGCAATGACCGATCATCTTGTAATGTTTCTTAATTAGTGTTATTTTATTGCAGACAAATATGAAACAAAGTTTTGATAAAACATATCATAACCGTACTTGACTTGACAAAAAATCGAAATTATTTGACATTAAAAAAAAATTAACAACAAGAATAAAGATAATATTACATGTACATAATTATTTTGAAAATGACGATGAGGTTGAAAGAAAATTTGAACGGGTTGAAAAAGTTGAAAGGTTGAAAACAATTTGAAGAAAATATGGGTTTAGCGGCATCGGGTTAGAATAGTTTGAGTTTGACTCCAGACAAAATTATTTCAAATACTTATTATAGTAAAACTACGATTATAAAGATTCTACTATAGTATAGTATAGTCTCTTGGATTCATAATGAGTAACTGTGTCTGTTTCTCAAGGCCAAGAACGTACTTAGAGTATTATATTTTGTATATGTTCGTGTAAGAATATGCTTTCCAAATCTGGAGTCCGAGATATCAAGTCTATATCGACAGAATTGAACTAGTCCAAAATAAATTCATTAAATTCTTATGATATAAAATGACTACTCGTCTTTGTAAGGATCTGAATCTGTTACTTCTAAATAACCGCTGAAAAAATCTTTGATGTAGCGTATTCTAAACATTGTAAATGATAATGCTGACTGCTTTGACCTACTGGGTGACATTTCGTTGAATGTTCCTACGCGTTCTATAAGACACTACCAAGTACCACCCTATTGCAGTTCTCTTAGCGAGGACTAATTATAGACAAAATATGTAGTTTTCTATATAGAGCTAGCAAGAGCTTGGGTAGTGTGCTGAGAAATCATGATCTGGATGTTGATATATTCAATTGTAAATGCGTTAAAGCGTCAACCCACGGACATTCTATTTAATTTTATTCAATAATTTGTGATTAGCGTATGTATTTGGTTGTAATATTTATGTAAGTGCATGTTGTTACGAAATACTGTATGATTTGTCTGAAGCTATAGGTGGAAACCTGTAATTGGCTTTATGTTTTTTTCCTGTTTTTATTAATTGTAAGAAGCTGTTGGTTTTCCATGAATAAATAAATAAATAATAATAATTTTAATACGCGATAAATCAAAAGGATGTAATAAAAACTAAATTAAGCAAATAACTTATTTAACACAATTTATTACGAATACAATTATTCTACTAAAGCAGCACATACGTTATTGTAACGTGTAACAAACATAACGTGTCAGTACCAATCTACCAAATGTGATTTTCCATTGCTCTAAATTGCAAAATTATTACCACATACGTGGTGACACCACCAAAAATCTGAAAATGAAAAACTTTTTTAGTTCGTGTACGTAAAATTATAGATTTGAAATCCGGTGACTGATCTATCGTATTTACTATTAAAAAATTACCGTGGTAATAATGGGTCGCGTAAGGGAACATATTCCCATCGGCCTGAAAGAAACAGGGTTGAGAATGATTTGCTTGTAAAATAGATCCAATTCATGAAAAAGTGGTTCACTGGGGTTGGAGATTCGGCGCGCCAACTGACCTATCAGAGCCTGGGTGTTTTCCATCTGTCACAAAGGAAAATATAAGTTGTATGGTACCGTTTTATGTAGCAATGGAGTCGGCTGAGTAACTTAGATGAAACTGTACCTCTTCAGTGTTCCGGTGAGCAGGTTCAATAATAACCAACATGTTAACGGTGTGAAATATACTTATTATTGTCTGGAGCATGGCACTGGCCGCACGACTGCGTTTAGTACTCACTATAAATTTAAAAAAAAATTGAAAGTATTGGCCCTTTTGCATACAATTAGGTAGCTATGTTGTGTATGTGTACACTAGGTGGTGGAAAGTTGTGACCGCCCAGTTGCCACACTTTCGCGTACATTAATGGCGAATCTGAAATCTATTTACTAGGCAATAACATTTAAATTCCTCGGAATAATTCGCCGCCGCGTAGACTAAAGACAAGCCAGTCACTCATTTAAGTTAAAACGGAAAAGTTAAATAAATAGCGCGTATTTTGCCTTAGAACACGTGCACGCGGTCTCACAGGGGGCATACCATAACCCTTCCAAAAACAATCTTATTTCAATGTAAGCTTAAAGTAAGCTTATTATAATATTACTCATATCCGTACAATGACAAAGCTGTCAACCAAGTAATGTATTATTGCTAAAGTGATTGAAAAAATATTGTCTATTCCTTACTAAAAATAGGAAAGACATAACGCTATATGAACTATATAATGCCATCTCTTTTTTTTGATGTTCCGAATCGTCTTATCGTAGTATTTAATGTTATTCACATTCAGAGAATTTTAACTGTTAAAAAATAAAAGTATGTAATAATAAAATCTATTAAAATTACGTTGTTTTCAATTATTTTTCCGCATTTTCATGAAGAAAAATAAATAAAACAAGCTGAGTCTTGACAGTCACGTTCTGAATTCGGAATTATAGTCTAGTGTCAACTGTTAGTTTCGCCAAGGAGCATATATGCTCTATTGAGCATATGTTGAGCATCTATTATATATATACCATATAAACTAACATTTGACATCTATAGATGGCGCTGTCATAATTTTACGAAATAAACATCGCGTATTTTTATTTAGCGAAAAATTATTTCCTATGTGCTATTAAATAAATATCATTAAACATTGAAAAGATATATGTAAATAAATAAATTCAACTTAACTTTTAATCATTACAAATCAATATTAAGACAATAAAACTGAAAATAATATTGTTTCCATTGCATCCGTGTAACTATTTTAAGATTGCTAAATTTGACATAAGAGCAATATTATTTTAATGTTAAAGTCGCGTCATAGTACGAGCTGAGTGAATGAATAGTCACAAAGCTGCCAATAAAGCATCATAGTTTTAACATTATAATAAGCTTACTTTAAGAGGTTGTGGTAGGCCCCCAAATACGGCACCCTCTAAAGGACTGGGCCCGCTCTATGCGGACCATCCGCCGAGACGTCCCAGTAGTATGCGCAAGCGGATCCTGGGGTCGTCTCTCTATGGCGGTGGAGTTAACCGCTGGGTTTTAGTGGGTATACGGGACTACCGCCCGGGAGTCCCACATAACCGCTCGATGCTCCTCCGAGTCGAGCGGTATGCGTAACGCATTTCCCAGCGACAAAAACAAGGCCCCCAAATACGGCAACCGTCCCCGTCGTGGCATAAGTGCGGCGCTGCGGATGACACCGCGCAGCACACCCTAGAGGTGTGCAGCCGGTGGGATGAGCAGCGCCGCACTCTGACGGGTACTGTAGGGCAGGACCCCTTGCTGCCGAGCGTGGTTGCCGTCATGCTCGATAGCGAGGAGTCCTGAGAGGTCCTTTTGCACAGAGGTTATGTCGCAAAAGGAGGCTGCGGAGCGGATGCGCGAGGACGCGGCGGACGCGCACCCGCTTCGGCACAGACGTACGGGGAGAAGGCGAACGCCGTTCGCTGCTCGCCTGATCCTCTAATGAGGCCAGCGGGCTCTGGACAGGGACTCGGGAGCCTGCATTGCACGGCCTCACTCGTCTGGGTCGGAGGACAACCGACTCACCCCTCCGTTGGCGCGGGAGCCCTGGCGCAAGCTAGGGCGGCCGGGCGGCGTCATGGTGAATATTCACCGATTCCACGGCGCCGACTCAACCGGCGAGAGGGAAACCCGGGGGGGTTTTAGTGGGGTAGGCCCTCCAGTCTGGAGGAAGAGTCCCCACATAACCCCTGAATCTCTCTGGGCTCAAGGGTATCCATAAAGATTTCCCGCCCGTCAAAAAAAAGGCCCCCAAATACGGCGGATGTTGTTGCCTAGTAAATAGTATTCAAATTCACCGTTAATGTATTAGCAAGCGTGACAACTGGGCGTTTACCGCGCGGCGGCCGCACTAAAATTTTCGCGTCGTGTAATTGGGCGCTAAGGTTGTTGGCACTCAAAAAATTATACTTGCCAAACCTGCTGTAAAACGGTAAACGCGTGAGTCCCTGATACGTGGCATGACAACTTGCGCAAAATCGTCGTAAGTAAAGTAATGGATGATGATTAATAATAATTTTACAGGGTTTAAAATGACAACTTACTCCAATAAGATATTAGATAGTAAGGCGCCAAAACCAATCGCAGAAAGAAACATAAAAGAAATATGATAAGAACGGCTGAATTGGAATCGTTAATTTGTTTCATGACGTCACATATTGCACCGTAAGACAGAATGAGATAGTGAAACAATTCTATATCTTTCTTTGAAATTTTAGATTCTGAAAAAAAAGACAATCGTTAGTATAAAAAATAATGTATTTAAATGATCATTTTATATTTGCTGGCAAAAATCTAAACGGTCATCTTTTTTAATGATTGACTTTTTTCTCTGAGACATGAAATATATTAAATCAATGTATATTTTAAACTGTGCAGTGTAACATTAACACTGATTTGTACTCGCATAAATTAAATTTGATAGTTTCATGCTGAGCCTCAAAACTAAGACAAATGAGTATTAAAAAAGCTGAAACCATGTTCGGAAGCGCAAGCGAATTTACTTCTAACACTCGCCGGTTGCTGCCGCGGTACGGTCGCTTCGCTTGCTCGTTATAATATTATTTTTGACTATCAATTTAGTACGCTTAAACATAATGTTGTGATTAGTGTTATCTTGAATGCAGTTCATTTATAAGTTATCCGTAGATATACTCTAATATAGACGGAACAGATAAATATATATCAAGCCTAAAAAATCGTTTATTAAAAAAAAACCTATTTTTCAAATAATTTTATTCCTAAAAAATATTTAAGAGACAGTAGTAACAAGTGAGGTAAACGATAATGTAGGATACGTGTTATACGTGTTACCTGATAATTTAACACCCTTCGTAGTGTTTAAAAAGTTTTCGTAAGGATCAAAATTAACCTTGTTAGATGGACAATTGAAGTCGATGACGTTTACGTGTCGTTCTGTAAAAAAGTAATGAGATACATCGTAAGTACGACATCAATTTGAAGTTGTCTTGTGGTGTTTGTACAATATCAGAACCTTAGAATAATAACGCATAGAACATTGACTTACAAATAAATGGACGACGGGTCTAATACAAAAACCACGAAAAAAATGTCCCAAGTCAACCTATTCGAAATTTAAATTGTAATGTCATCGCAGTATCGCGCTGTCAGTCGAACAAATGAAGACTAAAGCGGAGTTTGGCGCTCTGTATACGATTTTAGCGCCTTACAAGTGCGGACACTTTTTAGCGCGGACCCGACGTCCATATAATTGTAAGTCAATGGCATAGAATGATAGTTTCATATCAAACGAACTGTCACAAGTGAGGCAAAAATCAAATTCATGTAGGCTAGTTTTAGTAATAGGTTAATTTTCGGTTTTAGTGAATATTTATATAAAAATACAAGTTGAAACGCGTTACTTCCGTGTGGAATGTGATGTTAGTATCTATTTTATGTTTGTCTGACGTATTTTTACACTCATTTATCGCATATTTCGTCATTTTTAGCTAAAATTCTTGATCTGTTCGCGGTGCAAGTTGACCTTGAGCACTGAAGGCCCGCCCGCTCGTGTAGGCCCTTTTGGCGCGCTTCAATTTGCCTCACTTAGCGTGTGCGGACTAGGTTTCTATGCGTTATTATTCTAAGATCAGAACTATATTTCGCACCAATCGGTGCAATAAGGCCACATCTACGGCCACAATACGTACATGGTGCGTGCATTGAGACTTTTTAATAATGTGACAGTAAATCATAATGAATTTGATTTGTTTTGTTCAAGCATAGACCAGTCAGGCGAGAAATGACTAGCCGTCACTTTGACACATCACGTGGCGATGAATTTCTTTTTCTTTTTTCCATCCTATAAGCGATGAATAAACTGGTTTGTTCGTTTAATTGTCTATTATTTTAGTATTTTTTGTTTATTTATTTTTTAATTTAATGACTGTGTTCTTTGTTTTCTCATATAATCTCTTTTTGGCTTGTTAAGCACTTTGTATTGTTTCATGTTGGTGAAAATACTATAATTGTATTATTTGTCCGTGAATTTTCCTAAAATGTATTTAATAAATAAACAAATAAATCTGTAACGACCACTTTTCAGGGGGCTTAACATTCTACAGACGGAATGAGCGTTATAAAATTACACATATACATAATTTGTTTCTACATGAAACATTTGTATTATTAATTAATTTTTATTGAATTGATATTCAATTTTTTTTTTGTGAAATGACTTCACTAGTTTGTTATAATTATTAATACAAAGATAGAACACTCAGAAAAAATTCCTTCGATATGGTCGGATTCGAACCGACGTCTTCTTGCATACCGTGCCAGACGCTATACCAACTAAGCCACGGAACAAACCAACGGACCTCACGAATTTTTCCATGTGCTTGCGTCGTGTCTTTGTATTTGGTTTTTCAACGACTTTTTAGTCGTAGCGCCATCTATGAGAAATCTATGAAAGATTTATCACCCAGTTAGTACCTTTACAGCTACCAGTCCTCGCGAGAGATGTCGCTATTCACTGTATTAATTAAATTTTTATTGAATTGATATTCAATTTTTTTTGTGAAATGACTCCACTAGTTTGTTATAATTATTAATACAAAGATAGAACCGACGTCTTCTTGCATACCGTGCCAGACGCTATACCAACTAAGCCACGGAACGAACCAACGGAACTCACGAATTTTTCTATGTGCTCGCGTCGTGTCTTTGTATTTGGTTTTGCAACGACTTTTTAGACATTTGTATTATTTTTATGACTTTCATGTACCTAATAAAAGCACCACACGTGGCTTTATTGTGCGAAGGGTGCGATTTATTTATTGTTTGGTCATAATTTTGTAATCATAATAAAACAATTTTCGCCTTGTTTGAGTCCAAATGGCCTCTCCACACTTGCGAATCGTGAATTGCATCACACGCGAATTCGCAAACTACCCGCGAAGCATGAGTTAAGCATCCCATTCGAATATTCATCGCGGTTTCGCGCCGCCTTGTTCGCGGCTCGTTTCATATTGTTGTCGGTATTTTGCGACTCGAGTGTACTCCGAAGGTTGTCGAGCCGAGCAAGTGAGAACGAGTACGAGTTTTCGGCTCGGTTTGGCGGGAACCGAAGAGAGCTTGCTCGTGTTCATAAAAAAAGTAGCTTGAGTGACACGTGGTTTTTTTTAAGATACTGTGGCGTACCTACTCCACTAGTAACATAAATACTTTAGTAGAAGCTGTAAAATAAAAGCATAATTAATTATTATACCAATCTTAAAACTAAGTTTATATTTATATTGCATTTATATAAAGTTGATATTATTTCTTATACATTAACTATTATTAGGTACTATTGTATTACGTAACTTTCAAACTAAAATAAGTAACTAAGTGAAATGTAATCATATTAACTTACCTAAACTGTAATATAGTAAAAATCGTAACGACTAAATATCTAGCGGACTGATATGAACACCGCAGCGCACACGCACTGACGCGAGGCACGATTGGTTAGCGTCTGCACCTACGAGAGGCTTTTGTCGATTGCTCTGCGAATTATTCATGTTTTGCGTATTTCTATCGCTGTGCTATTTTCCTAATTTCTTCGCCTTCATCTTCTACTTCTTTGTGTGTGTAATCTATAGTCTATATTACTGTGAACTATTTATGTTGTATGCTTGTAAAAGAACAATATGCTTAATTGAAGTAAGTGGAACTGTATACAGTTTTCTTGGTGCTACCCAAACTTTTACTTACCTTGAGACCGTAAGTCCACCACAATACTAAGTGATGGGACGAACAAGTCGTGCGCCTGATGGTAAACGACACGCCTGTCCATAACAGTTGCAGTGTCACGCAGAGCTTTAAATCGCAAAGATCTGAAGTACACTGCCTCTGCGCCTATCACCCTGGGACATAAGTTGACAAGTCCCATGTGCCTGTAATTTCGCCAGCACCCTTACCCTTCGGTGGCAGTACTTTCCTGGACGAACTCTTTCACAAGGAACAGTGGGTGTGGGAGTAACTGGACTCACTCATCGCTGCCCAGCTTAATATAGTTACTTAAATGATTTAAATGTCATCGTGTATATAACCTCGCTTGTCAATTTGACAGATGAAGTCCATCAAAGCATTGTTGATAGCTTTTTGCGTTGAGACGATTTTCATCACGATGTCCATGAACAGCAGCTCGAGAGGAAACGTCGCCACTAACTCTATGTAGAAGCTCATGTACAGGCAAGCCACTTTCACTGAAAGGAACATAAAGTTATTGTGATATCAGACTATTGGTGGCTAATAAGTAATTATATTACAATTATATTTCATTAGTTTTTTTTTATTCCGTTTACTGTTCGGTTGTATACCAGGTGGTACGAGATATCTGATGGTAAGTAGCTGCCGTCGTCTATAGACATTGGAAATACTAATGAAGTGTCTATTAATAACATCGCACAATGTCGCAACTTTGGGACATTGGGTCTAAAACTGTTGTTATATATCGTTGCTTTTCAAGAATACTCTCCTAAACAAAAATAATTAATCTTCCTACTTTTTATACGGCTGTAATCTGGATGTGCTTAATTGTATTGTCAATAAGAAACCAAGTCGTGGGGTGGTATACGATTCGTCGACATTGCGTGCCAGATACGCCTTGAGCTTTCTAAAGCACTCCTCCCGATGAATCAGGTGTTTTTAAAATATAGGATAAACTTCTTTTTTTAACATTACAAATGATGTAAACAAAAACGCAGTGTTTGTAAACTTTTTTCTTCAGACAATAGACAATAAAAAGGAGTTGAGAACAGGCCTGCAGTTATTATTTGGGCCATTATTTTATTATGGGTACAATTATCGGTCCCCTGCAAAAAAATATACTTTTTAAATTAAATAAATTAAAATCAAGAATAAATCTACCGTCGGTAGCAATCTAATTAGACACCCGTCACAGAAAATATTATAAATTTAAGTAAAATACTATATTTATTTAAAAAATTACGGTAACTCTGTTGTTGTTTTTGGTAACGCAATTGTTTTCATATAAAAATTGGCTGTCCTTCGAACCGAGTCATTTGAAACAAGCGCAACGTCTGAAAAAAAATACAATGACAACCATGTTTTTGAATATTTTAACTAATATCTCATTGTTTGAACTTCACTTCACGGTAATAAGAATGATTTTATAACAACATATTATGGGTCAATTAAATATTCCTGGCCGAGTCCCCAAGGCCAAGCAAAAATACACCTACACAAGGTTACCATAGGAAAGTCAACCATAAATCAACCTTTTTACACTTCCTTACACCTAAGATCGTTTGAATGGCTGTGTATTTGTATCGGAGTGTAGGTGGGGGAGCGGGGCGGGTAAAATAACCAAGTCAGTCGCACGAGAGTCCTGGAGAGAAGCGCGTGTGTTTATTGTGAGGCCACTGAGTTACCGGCGACGTACGGTGAGTTTTCTAGATATTGATTATTTTGTTTCATGCAATGTATGTAAAAATTAGTTACAATTTTGAGGGCATTTTGATATCCTATGTATGTGTATCTATTTAATTACTACCTTCAAATAGGTTATTGTTTTACAACTGCGTTACCGCTACACTGCGTTACTGGCAATAGTAACGCAGTTGTAGCTATAGTAACTCAGTGGCTTTTCTTATAGTTTTCAGTTATATGTTACTCAATTCATGGTACCAATGTAACATTTGAGCATATTATATTGTTACAGCATAACATTTCGGACTCAATGGCGTTAACAGCGGCTGAAAAACAACGGCGTTATAGGCAAAAATTAAAAGAAAATCCAGTTAAGAATGCTGAAGCCAAAAGAAAACATCGGGAACGTTACCACGCGAAAAAAAAACTCGTAAAGGATATGACAAAAACGGAACATAGATCTGCTAAGCGCAAATGGAAGATTGCAAACAAAAAACGTCGAGAGCGTCAAAAAGCATTACAAGCCATTATGATCGAAACCCCAGTTTCCACACCACGTTCAGGAACTCCCGTTTCTTCGCGGTCTAGAGGAAGAAGACAAGTAAGACGAGACCGGTCTGCATTATATAGACAAAATTCAAAATTGCAGGAAGAAATAGAAAAACTAAAAAAGATGTGCAATAAGTACAAAAAAAGATACCAAAGATACAAAAACACCGTAAATGCAAACCAGTCGGAATCTGGCGACAAAAAATATGCAGTTTTATCCAATGCCATCAAAGATCGTTACAGGAGGATGAATAATGTAAAAGAGAAAAGAGCTATCAAAAAAATATTCCAAGGAGAGTCTATACAAAATTCTAGAATGAAAGTCGCCATTGTGCAAGAAACTATAGGCATTAACAAAATTAAACAAAGTCAGATTGCACCTAAACAGGCCATCCTAGCAAAGAAGATAAAGATTTTTTATGATCGTGATGATGTATCCAGAGCTACTGCTGGGAAACGAGAAACAGTGACGTGCAAAAAGAAAAAAGTACAGAAAAGATACCTCCTGGATACAATGAAAAATCTTTTCAATTCATTCAAAAGAGAAAATCCTAACGAGAGATGTTCATACTCTTACTTTACCAAGCAAAGACCCTTTTATATAAAGCCACCAACTGTTGATGGCAGAGATACCTGTCTATGTAAGACACATGTTAATTCACAATACTTGTTGAATGCTCTTCACAGACACAAAATTATATCCGAATCTAACATCACCCAAGCTATTGAGAACACCGTGTGTGCTACAGATAACAGAGCTTGCATGACTGGCAATTGCGACACCTGTAAAATTAAAGAAATACAGTACGAAATACCGGATCAATCCCAATTACTTAAATGGCAACAATGGGTTACAAAAACAGAAATTGTTGACAAATCAGGCAAGAAAGTAAAAATTACAAAAAATATAAAGGAAATTACCGAAGGTACCGTCGCAGAACTGGCAGATAAATTTAAAGAGGCTCTAGTTACATTAAGAAAACATATTTATAATATTAAAATACAGTACAGGAGTTACCGGGAAGCAATAGATGATCTGAAAAGTGATGAAGCTGTGCTGCATGTTGATTTTAGCGAAAATTACAGCTGTAAACATTTTGAGGAAATCCAGTCTCATCATTTTGGAGGATCGCGCAAGCAAGTAACTTTGCATACTGGAGTTATGTATATGAAACAAGACGGTGAATATAAGCTGCAGGTCAGTTCATTCTGCACCGTATCAGGTAATAATTCTCACAATCCTGCGTCCATTTGGGCCCACCTTCACCCAGTTATTAGTTACCTGAAAGACAACCATTCTCACGTAAAAACCATTCATATCTTCTCCGACGGACCCGCAACTCAGTACCGGCAGAAGTTGAACTTTCATTTCATCTGCACAAAAACATTCGAAGATTATGGCTTTGAACGCATGACATGGAACTTTTTCGAAGCAGGCCATGGAAAGGGCGCTGCTGATGGTGTTGGTGGATATCTCAAACGTGCAGCTGACAGAAAAGTGGCCTCTCACTGTGATATTCCTGACGCAGAGACTTTTTTCAACACTCTGAAAGACTCCAGCAAAATCCAACTATACTTTGTGACTGATGCCGATATTGAAAAGGTTGAGCAGACTGTTCCCAAAGATATTATCCCGCTTCGTGGTACTATGCAGGTACATCAAGTTTTTTCGGATACTCCAGGTGAATTGCAGTACCGTGACCTTAGTTGCTTCTGTCAGAGAGGTTTCTGCGCTTGCTTGTCACCAAAAAGATATCGGCCAATTCCTATTTCTACCAGCATAATCAGGCTATCTCCAGAAGGGAATGATTTCGGTAACACATTCGAACAACCTCCTAAAAGAAATTATTTTGAGGAAAACATCAATAAGTCTCCAGAAAGCCATTGTGCAGAAGCTATGAATGAGGAGGAAGTCTTAAAGAATATAACCAACATTGTGAATCACTCCAAGAAGGCTTACTTTGAAATGGTTTATTCTTCTTCAAGCACGGATAATGACGAGCCTCTTTCGAAACATAAACCCGTGAAAGAACAAGAAGCCTCTGTTTCCAATCGACATGAAAAAGACCTGATTGAAAAGGAAAATGTACACCCATCCAAAGTATTCATGGGGGTTTACGTCTTAGTAAAAGTGATCTCTAACAAAGATAAATCTTATTGTTACCTGGGCGTCGCTCAAAGCGGTGTTGATGAAGAGGGAGAGGTAAAGATAATGTTTTTCAAATCTGTCGATGATTCTGGGAAACTATTCAAAGCCATGGAGAAAGATATTTCTTACGAGCCTTATGAAAATATCTTGGAGATAGTTCCGAAACCAAAAATAATTAAAAAGGGTAGACGTGAGTTCTTCAAATTCAGTGTGCCATTGAACATTTTTGAAAAATGAGACTGACCTTGTGTTGAGATATATTTTTGTTGATTTAAGTTGTTTTTAGTTGTTTATAAGTTGATTATTTTCAAAGATTTTAATGTTTATTATTTAACGAAGAGTTCTGTTTATTTTTGTTTGATTGTTTTCTTACATTATGATTAGTTTTAATTGAAGAAAGTTTAAAGACTGTGATTGAGAAACCACTGCGTTACCAATTAACCACTGCGTTATCTTTTTGTCCCTCGTTTCCAGATAGTATTCACTAACATATCAGCTATTCTATATTAAAAATAAACTTAAACTAAAAATAATATCTATGACTCACCTTATTTGGAGCTATTTTTAAGACATTAAGCAAAAAAATATTATTATTTAGTCCTTTTTTCGAAAAGTATTGCATTTAAGTTTATTGATTGGTAACGCAGTAAGAAACTTTATTATAAAATAAATAACTAGACTGAGACTATTTTGTGATTTAACTTGTAAGATTAACGTATAATGTCCTTACTTTTTACGTGATATATGTTTACGAACCAAAATACATGTTCCTAACAATAAAACATAATTTTGTATGAAAGTAACGCAGTAGTATTTTTTTCTCATCATTCCTCGATAAAACGTCAATAACTTTAAGAAATAGCCAGAAATTATCGCTGCAAATGTATTTAATGAATAATATAAATGTTAATAAACATAAATAAAAATGTAACGGTACATAAATAATAAGTTTATAAAAATTTAAAAAATCTGTAAACGTATTCCAAATTGGTCCTAAAATAAAATAATGGCCCATTTGTTGGGTCTTAGTGATCGATAGGGTTGCTTGTATAGGTTAATAAGCAGCCTTCTAGAGTTATTATAACCTTCGCATGCTGTGCATATAGTTTACTTTGCCTTTTATATGGCACTGCATACCTGTCCTTTTTATTACCTAGATTTTGGATGAATACCCTTAAATATGAAGGGTATAAAAATTAAAATACTCAAGCATAAATATACAAACTCAAATTATTGATCTTGGTTTTTTTTTTACAAAACATTTGGCGAATTTTGCACCTCTTTCGGGTCAGTATCGAATTATCCACCTTCAACGCATTTCACCAAACGAAAGTTAGCATAAAGCCAGTTGAACCGAAAATAACGAAAACACAACAATAATACCTATAAGGTAATGCGACCAATTAAAATACACGACCACGTTAATTTAGTTGTGTTAAGTATACGTTGAAAACGTTCCATTTGTTTATTACCTCTGCATCTTTGGGTCTTTTATTGTGCAACATTTATATGAACGATTATCACAAAAATAATAAATAAATAAATTACTAAATGCCTCATTACTTAATAATTTGAATAAATAAATGAAAACTACATATTTTGTCATTTATTATATAAGATTAAATTGTTTACGTGAAAAAAAAAAATTTTTGGCAGTTACCGAATGAGTTTACATTTGTGTAATATCTCGTGCTCGATAAAAAAACCTCTTTGTAGCTATTTGTAATGGGATAAAAATAAGTACAGGTTCGTTTCCATATGAAAGAAGATGGAGATACACGCATATTTCATTAAAAGTTTGCTTGTTAACTTACTGTCCTTTCCTTCATTTAAGGCCTCATTAACAAATATATAGAAATCAAATACGTATAATAAACTTCCAAATAACAGAAACAGTTTTCCAATAGTAAGTACCGTCTGTTCTATATGTTTTTCTGGAACATGTCTTGCGATCCCGGAGTTCACCTGTCAAAAAAATCACGAACTATGTAATTCAGATCGTCATGACATTATCACAAGAAGCAAATAAAAGCCCCATAATAATTATACTAAAACAAAACATATTCATTAAATAAAATAGGAACCAAACACGGCCCTTGCGGAACACCCACTAATCTTTATAATTTAAAAATACAAATATATGGGATTTAGATCCGAAAAAATAGTTTCATTTCGTACGGAAATTTTAAGTCAAAATAATAATTTGCTTTGTTAAGTAATTATAATAATGAAATCGATCATTTTCTCCCATCATGTACATAGTACAGTTAGTATTACGTTTATAACAGTTAAAGTAAGTACAAGGACGGAAGACAGGAGCTGATATAGGCGAATGGAGCTCAAACTAGGCTAGACGTATGCTATTTAAGTCCCCTAGTTTCCAATACCTGATAACAAATACTGGCTTCTCATCCAAGATGACCGATGTTTTTTCTTAGTCAACCCTTGTGCTTACAAGGGTTGCTAAGAAAAAAACAAAGTCAATTAACAGTTAAAATACTACCACGATGCGATGGATAGGTGTGTGTGTTGTGAGATAGTAGTTTAGTGAATGCCTGGTTGTGTTACTACAAAACCAAGGACACTCGGTAGATTTTTTCTATACTTGATTAGGTACTTTTTGATATATTGGAAACTATAAATTTTCTTTAAAGTTATAGGTTGTCATCCCTAGAAGCAGATAATTAGCTGCAATTTCTTGTATACTTCTTTGTATGGATATGACGCGGTTTAAAAAAAAATGTGATTAAAGTATCTAATATATGGTTTCGTGTGTCTCGTTTTATTCTACCCTGTATTGAAAAGAAAATAAGTAAGCATACCTTCTCAATAACATTCAAGCAGTGTATCATAGAGTTCATTCGTTCCGGCCCGTTATATACGCTAAATGTCATCAAAACAACTATTCCCAGAACTTCCGTGATCCATGCTAGAGAAGCAGTTGCTGATCTCACACGCACACTACGGTGTGAATCTTCATAAAAGTCTAAGATGACACCTGATATAATGCCAGTATCTGTAAGTAATTTATATTTTAATTAGGCGTAACACTAATGGATAATAGTAGATTTTGTCACCATCTATCTCTCTATCTATCCGACCGTGTTTGGTCAAGGCCACTTCGACTCCTAGTTGAGTTGGCGCTGATGCGCTCGAAGATGACTAATGTAGCCAATCTTCGCGGCGAACCCTCGTGCACATTGAGGGCACGTGAGTACACCGCCAACGTAATTATAGTTAACATTCTTTATTTCATCACGTTTCGCGTCCGGTACAGCTTTACGCCGATTTTCGGACTCGTGGACTTGCATCTTCATAATTCTTCATGTTGTATCTTCTCATATGTCTCGTCTCAACATCTTTGTACCTGAGGATTGACCGCCAGGCTTCCATCTACCCTCTTTAAGTTTAGAGTAGAAGATGCGCTTCGCCAGTCTGTCCTCCGCCATACGTGATACGTAACCACACCATCTAAGCTGTCGATGCATTGGTAAGCATCAATGCCATCAATATTGGCTCGTCCTAAGACTTCGTCACCATATAGTACATATTTATATTCAATTGAGAGAGGAGCGAAGGATTATTGGTTATTAATCACAAATTAAGGAAACACAACACTTTGACACACATCAATCGTTCAAATACGACGATAATAGGAATTCATTTATTAACTGTAGGTTTTATGACTCTTCAAATGCGAGTAATCTTTACCTTTAGAAATTCTGTGTTATGAAACCAATGCAGAGCAACACTGTCTTGCTGTGTCTTAGATACGGGTTTATTGCAATTGTTATATCGTCTGCCAAGCAAAAAAGCAGAGATGTCTAACAATAATCTAATATTGACTGAATTAGTTGATAAATAAGCAGTGATAGCCTACGATGTGCCACAGATTAGACTAGACAGACGAATGTTGATAGAACTTACGAATAATAAACAGAAGGAGGCAGCTGTAAGTATACATCCCAGGCGAAACTTTGACAAATATAGAATTGTATTTCTTCTCCAAAGACACTGGGGCTATTCCAAATATTCTTGATACATATAGAGTTAGGGCCATTGATCTATCGATTAAGCCTTTTGAGCGTGATCGCTTTATTGGAAATGATTTGCTGTTTTGCGGTTGTTTTTCTGTTGAGGAAGATAATGTTAAAGTTGAATTAGGTAGTATGTGAATTACTACATCCCGAATTAACTATATGTCATTTTAGATATGGTCACAAGTCTAAAAGCGTTCTGAAAAGCGATGCAGTCGCATCGCTTTACGGCCAAAGCTGATGTGACCTTTTCAGGAGCTGACCGGCTATGATCGAAGGAGTGACCGATGAACTTGTGTTTTGTTATTGTTTCTTTTTTACTAAGCTTGGTTAATGACCTGTATTTGAGAAACTCTGGTTTCTTGTTATATAACTCAATGATTCTCTGACAAATGTTTCAAGGCATTTTTAAAACGCGTTAAGATCTCGACAGCTTTGAAATATTTATTTCTACTTACCATCATGTAAATTTTGACCAGGTTTTGATTTTACAAATACGTTCATGGTTCTGACTTTATTTAATTTTCCGTTAATAACATTTCAATTTTTTTCGCCTTCACTCCAAGCCAAAGCTTGCAATCCTGTGTATATTTCTAACTTCTTCATTAATTTGTGCACTAGTTCCACACTGTGCTGTGTCTGTAGATTCCAGTCACTATAGTCACTACCATCAGTTTTGCTATTAAATAGTGATTTGTTTTTATTTACTTTATCCATGGTGATGTTTTGAGTCAACTGATATAAAACTAGAACTAGACGTGGTAACAAACTAACCCTATAAATAAATATGAATCTGGAAATAAAATTAACAACCATGATATTGTGTAATCTATGGACATTAGTTTCTGTTTCGATATCAAAGGTAGATTTAGTTCATTCACAAAATTTTGATTTTTGATTTGTCTTCTAAAAACAACTTTGTTTTATTATATCAAGTGCTGGTACGAGCAAGTTGTGCGCTTGTTGGTAAGCGACACGCCTGTCCATAGCATTTGCAGCGCCATTCACAGCTTTATGTTACAAAGATCTAAGGGGCACTATCAATGCGCCCGTCACCCTGCGACACAATTCAACAAGTCCCACATGCCTGTAATTTTATAAAATTACACATATTCATAACGTTTACATTTTACACATGTTCTTTGAACTTTCTGAAACACAGCTTTCGCCATAAATTTCTTAGATAACTACTCTAACATGCAGCCATTTAGGTTGATGGCTGTACCGTGCCATATCCAGAAATATTCTACGACATTGAACTGAACGCTATTTCCTTAATTACACAGGAAATATTTACTTTTCATTTTCATCATATTTAATTTTGTTCATATTTATTTTATGTGTAAAACAATAAATCACGTGTTTGGACATAGTTGAATATGTATATAAAACAATAAATGTTTACTGAGGAAATTCAATCAGATTTTCCTTCAAAGTGTCATATGATGGATGATGCAAGTGGTTACTGTAATAATAAACTTATGAATATTTCAATTTTCGTCAAAGAAAATTGAAATAAAGAAAGCTGAATGTACGAGTATATCAATATGCAACACTTCCTTGCATACCATAATGTTATATGCATGGTGATAGATAATATAAATTAAGGTCGTTATGGACCTTGTAAATTAAATTAATTCTAACCTCATCCTATTTCGTTAAGCTTTAAAATGAGTACAGATACATATTTCTCAATTTGACTTCGTACAAATATATTTAAAAAAAAATGTTTTAAAATTGTATAGATTCGCAATCGGTGTAAGGTTTTCGCTGATTGTTGCCCACGGTGCGCCAGATGTACAGGGTATGATGATCCGACGTCCTTCATCGGCATTTCACCATTTCCACCCTCTTTACTGGTTCCTGGCCACTTACTTTTGAAATTTTGAATCGTTCTCGAATTCGTTTTCTTCATTATTCTTACGTTTTAGTTCGTTCCATCTCTGCGCCCATCAAAATTCTCGATATGAATATGACTAACAGGTCTTACAGGGAGGCGCCATTAGTGCACCCCATACATTTTGTAACAATACTGTATGGGGAACGAAGTTAACAAAATGGAAAGGATCCACACATCTGCAGGGTAGATGTAGCTCCACAAGGAGCCGTCTCGCGATTCCTTTTGAGAGATGAGAACCGTATCTACAGGTTTGCACCGTCAATGGCAAATACTGAGCAAAGCACCACGTACCATGATTTGGTTGACGAATACAGGAGCTGCTGGACCACGGCTGTTAGCCGCCAGCGTGCTGCGATTTGGGTGACACCAAAATTTGAGGATTGTTTGATCTGCGGGGCGCGGGCTTTAGGTTATGGACAAGTTCACGATATGCATGTTAAGCACCAGGTTTCATGGTCTCATGAGATTTTACATATTTTATATATTTTAGAGAACACCGGGCATTATTTCGCCTTGTTGAGGTGGAGCGCGCTACGAAAGGTGATCGAAATAACGGCTTGTAGTTCTTATGCCTGCCAATAGGGGGCGCCTTCGTGAATAACGTATTTGATGTTGCAAACCGCGCGAATGTTAACCGAAGAACTTACACGTATATGAAAACCGTACAAATACTTTTATAATTAATTGGACATATGTATTTCTAAGTGTTCATGTAGCTACAAAATGTATTTTTAACGCTTCTATAAATTTTGTTTGTTGACATAACAAACGGACTAGACGAATGCAATGTTAATTGCAAGACCTTGTTTTACCTACATAACCTTGAACTTTTATATAAAAAGTAAATACTATTATTAGCACTATTACGATTAGGTCTAAAGTAAATTTCAGTCTTTACAAGTTATTGCTTAAGTGATATGTTGTCTATGTGTATACTTCGTTTTTTTAGCATTAGTTGTAAAATTTTTCGTCCTTCGAAACAGGCTAAGGCGTTAAATTGGCCGTACTGTCCGATAGTTTAATTTTCCGACATTACAACCGACTTCAAGAAAAAGGAGGAGGTTATACTTGCGGCTGTATGTATGTTTTCCGATTTCTGTGGCAAGCGTGGACCGATTTTTATGTTGGCAATTGTGAAATTATTTTTTGTTTCAAGGGGTGCCAACATCTCGTGGTGGTCCCATTGGCACCAAGTCAGAATCTGATGAGATGATCCAAGGAAATCGAGGAAAATCCTCAAATTTTATAGGTATGTCAGTGTACTTACCGCTTTCTCCATGAATTGTTGACCGATTTTGAAAATTCTTTTTTGTTTGAAGTATTCTCTCGACGTAATGTCGACGATGCTGTTCCGGGTTCGTTTCGGCTATCACAAACTAAAAAATTATTTTCCCCCATTGACTTACAAATAAATGGACGACGGGTCTAATACAAAAACCATGAAAAAAATGTCCCAAGTCAACCTATTCGAAATTTAAATTGTAATGTCATCGCAGTATCGCGCTGTCAGTCCAACAAATGAAGACTAAAGCGGAGTTTGGCGCTCTGTATACGATTTTAGCGCCTTACAAGTGCGGACACTTTTTAGCGCGGACCCGACGTCCATATAATTGTAAGTCAATGTTTTCCCCAAATAAAAGTCGACTTTTTCTTTTTTTTTTGTCGTTCATTTGACACAATACAAGTAATCAACAAATCGCCATCGCCATGGCTACCAGAAAAAAGTATAAAATGTACAAAGGAGTCCATAACAGTCCCATTGTCACCAAGAAGTCGGAATCTAATGAGGGGATGCCATGGAAACCGAAAAAAGCCGTTAAGTAAGCTTTTGAGGTCGGTTGTTTTTCAATGAAAAGTTATTCGAAATTTTTCTTCAATCGTTTGATTATTTAATATGTTTTCGCGCGACATCTTTACGGTAGCCATTTTGTTTTAGCATTACACAGAAGGAAATTTTGGGTCTTTTAGGCGCTAGATCATTGTCATTTTGCAAAGCAATTTAATAAATATCGTGCATTGAATTTCTCAAACATGTTGAATTTTATGTGTTTATTAAGTTTTTTTTATTCGTAGTATTAACTAAAGATTCTGTAAGGTACTGTAAGGTTGTAGTGCAATCTTTAGAGCCCTGTTGCAGTCCTTGTAGAGGTTTGTGATTTCTTGACGTATCAGGAACTGTTTATGGTAACTTCAACATTTCCAACTTTTCCACATGTGTGTGTGTGTGTATGATGTATGTGCACAAACACGTTACACCGTTATAAAACGTATACAATAAATTTTATTTGCAATTTAGTATGGAGTGATGAGAGATAGCACGTCTGTCTTCTCTCCTCGAGAATTTTGTTGGGAGTACCGACGGAACGAAGAAACGTGAGAGTGACGTACAAAAGGAATGAAGGAACGATTCGAAGTTTCAAATTAGGTGGCCAGGAACTAGAAAAAAGGGTGGTAAAAAGGTGGGATAACGATGAAAGGGGTCGCATCGTCGCAAATGAAAACTTTTATCTTTACATACTTAATATGTTTCAAAAACTTGCACGAAAAAAAACTTAAACCAACAGAGAGGTTGCAAACATTAAACATAATTTTTTTTATAAAGTAATAAACATCTCATAATATTCACTGTAATTTGTTGTCTGAAGAAAATACTTTGTTTTCGTTTTTTAGTTCTGAAAAAACGAAGTATATGTCTAAAAAAAATTATTTTAGGGTTCTTATTCTGATTGTCAAGATTGTTATTAGACATTTTATTCTTCAATTTGCTACGCCTTAGCCTCATTGATAAACTGCTGGAATATATAGTAATCTCGAAAGATATCGCTTACTCTCTCATATACAATTATATACATATTTATACACGCGTACATGCATCAACCCTTCATGACATATGAAATAAATTACACTAAGTAATTAGTTGAAAAAAAATGGCGAGTTTTTGTAGTTACAGTTTTAACACAATTAATTTTTTATTTAAGTGTTACATTTTGAGTGTCTTAATTATTTGTTACCTGTTTAAAGATATGGGCACTGCAACTGTTATGGATAGGCATGTCGCTTACCATCAGGTTCGCGACTTGTTCGTCCCGTCACTTGGTTTATAAAAAAATACGATATTAATTAAATTTAGACTGTCGTAGCTTTATTCAATATGAAAGTTTAATTACTTTTATTCTTTTATTATTTTACGGGCAAGTAAACAATATTTGTTTGTCACAAAAATAACATTTCGCTTAGCTTTTTTAGAAGACGCGCGATAGTCATGAAAATAAGGGTGGTCGATTCTAACAACGCTAATAAATTTCTCTCATATAGTAAGCGTTAGTTCTAGCCCCGCCCGCTCGAGAACGCCACGTGATTTCTGCTCTCCTGGTTATTTTATTTAAGTACGTATACGAAGAAAACTATTAAAATTAATTAACCGAAGAGGTTAAGAAGAAAAATTGTGTTTTGAAGTGATCTCGGGTAAAGGAATAATATGAGTAAGTATTAGTTTGTTTTTTATCCATTTTAGAACTTAATTTGCTTAGGAAGGTAATAAATGTTTAGTGATTGAAGAATATATATTAAAGAGACTAAGAAATGATTTGTAGATATTTAGATCTCCTTTTATTTTTTTTACCGTGAAAAAAAATAAAAGGAGGGTATTCTAATCGATACGTTTTTTAAAATTATTATTGATTAAGTACAAATAGATGTTAAAAGTGCAAAATAATGCATTCTTCTATTCTTGCATTAACGTGATAAACTAACGAGTCTGAACATTAGTAGATATACACTACTGTGCACACACCCCTCTATTTTTATTTGTTAGATACGTTATGAAAATACTGAAAATAGTATCTCATATAAATATGAATCTGAAAGATCTTTGCAATCCCCTAATATCAACAAAAAACATTACATTGCTTCGGAAAAGGTAACCATTGACAGATATTGTAGAGGCCACACTAACATTTACGTCTGCTTACATGGTTAATTTTCTCCAAAATTGCTATGTTTTTAATAAGAATCATCCCGAAAGTCCCGTTTTTAAGCATTCTATAATAACATCAGAGACTTCGGTGTTGCAGCGGTTAACAATGTGGACGCTAGATTAGGAGGCCCCGAGTTCTTTCTCGGATAAACGAACTTTTCAAAATTTTTTAATAATAATAATATATGCTAGACAACCACACCAATTGCCTGGTCTCAAACCAAGGAATTCCCCGTACTTATATGAGTCCCAAAGTAATAGAATTCACTCTGCGACACCTCCCAGATCGTCCAGATCAGAACAAATTTAAAATTGAAACCTGTGTTAATTTCGTTTCGTAAAACTCTAGTAATCATTGAATTACGCGGAATTTCCTAGCTTGAGATCAGGCAATCGATGTGGTTTTTTTTGTTTATAATATCAAGAGACGGGACGAATAAATCGTGAGCCTGATAGTAAGCTACACGCCTGTCCATAACAGAGCCTTAAATCGCAAAGATCTGAGGGTCACTGCCACGGCGCCCGTCACCCTGAGACATAAATTGACAAGTCCCATGTGCCTGTAATTTCACCAGCACCCTTACCTTTCAAAACCGGAACGCAGCAATGCTTCCAGTTTTAAGACAGCTGCAATCAACCACAATTGCCCCGTGTACATTAAAATACACATATTTTGTGAAATGATTCAGACCCAGACAATATTTTGTCTATTATCACGTAAATACGGTGTACATTATAATGAAAACATTCAAATTTAGTGCCAGATATATATTCTAGTAGCAGTAGAGTTACTTGTGAAATTTCGTCCAGGGAAGTACTACCATTTACCTATTTCTAATGTGAGCATTACCGCGTTCCGGTTTTGAAGGAGGTGCTGGCGAAATTACAGGGGCATGGGACTTGTCAACTTATAACTCGGGATGACGGGCGCAGTGGCGGTTCCTCTCCGGCCTTTGTAGTTTAAAGCTCTGAGTGGCATTGCAATTGTTATGAACAGGTGTATAACCCACAACTTCTCACCTCACCTGGTATTATAAAAAAAAATCCACAATATATCTAGAAAAATAGTTTAAAAAATCCTGGTCGAGTTTTTCATACAAAACTGGGCGCTTGCCCACTTAAGTGAAAATAAATACAACGCAATTTGCTATCGTTGTATCTATTTCTCAGTTAAATCGTCGTATTCAAACACCGAATCAAACTTGCGGCTAAACTAAATAAACAAAGGTTAACGCGAACGAATGACATGTTACATCAATGCAATCACATATTTAGCAAAGCGAAATGAAACAATAACAACGTGAAATCGTACAAACAACAATATTTTTTATTGACACGATTTGTTCGTTGAGGCTAAATGACCATGTAAATGACTTGATACGTAAATAAAAAATCCAAAAGTTTGTGGAATTACATTTATTTGCCAAGTTTTATTCAAATCGGGTACCGGAAAGTGCGCGAAACCGGATTCATCCCTAGTTTAACACCCTCAGAGGATATTTTCTTCAAATTTAAATGGGGCCAAAAAAAGAATCATCATCGGTTCATAAATCACCAAAACGAATTACAACGTCAGTTATGTCATAGTTTTTTTTATGATACTAAGTGCTGGAGTGAACAAGTCGTGTACGTGGTGATAAGCGACATGCTTGTCAATAGCAGTTGCAGCGCGTCTTAGAGCTTTAAATTATAAAGGGCGCTGTCAGCGCGCCCGTCACCCTGAGATATAAGTTGACAAGTCCCATGTGCCAGTAATTTCACCAGCATGCAAAGAATACAGTACAAGAGCATGTAAAGAGTACATACAGCTCACGTTACCGCTTGGCGGCAGAAATAGGGTGCGGTGGCAGTACTTCCCTGGACCAATTATTTCATAAGGTAAGTATATGTATTCCACAAGGCCATATTTGGAAAATGAAATTTTTTCAGGAGGAGTTTTAAAGATTCTTCAAATGAAATTCCTCGATAACTTTTTATAAAATTTTACGGATTCTATGATGATTTTGATAATCTATGTACGGTGGACAACAGGTGCATATTTTATTGTACTACGAACATTTTACGTATAAGATTTACGAGGTGCACGTGACGCAGGACGACGTGCACGTACATCAGCCATTACGTTTAACAACCGTGGCAGGCGCGTTTTTCAAATGGTTCGGTTAGCTCTTCAAATTTGGAACGCAGTAAAGCTCACCTTACTGCTTACCGGCAGAAATAAGTCAGGTGGCAGTGTCACCCTGGACGGACTCTTTCACCAGGAGCTTTGAAAGGGTTGTAACCCTAACTAGCCGTGAACAAATTCACGGCAATGAAATGGGAAACTTCCGGTCCACAAAATTTATTAAAGAAGTAAAGTTTAAAGAAAGGGCTGTAACAATAAAAAGGTAAATGTAAAAAAACAGGTACAACAGTATAAAACACTCCCTACACTTTATTATTAAGGCATTTACCCCTAAATTTATTTATTTTTTTTTTTTTTTTTTTTTTTTATTTATTTATTTATTTCAGGCAACTAGGACCCATAGATACATACCTTACAGACTAACATACATATAATATAACAATAACAATATAAAAACAAAATACACCTATGTATATTATATATACCTTAAAACAAACATACATACAATATAATAATAAAAACTAATCTACACGATTTCCCTTATCGGCGACGTGTGGCGCAATCTGGTGTCAGGTAACCGGCCGCGGAATCGCCGATATATGACACCCTTCGGCCAAAATTCCTCTTTCATGAAGGTCGAAAGATGTTCGGTCGGTATTCTCACCACAAACGAATTGAAGTTCACGTTGCGGCGAGACTCCAACCGCTCGACCCTCAGGGTGTATTTGGTTTTATGACTGATATACTCCACTATTTCCTCAGACTTCGTGGAGTAATGCAGCCGCGACAGGTACAACAGCGTCGTCGGTACGGCCGGACGCAGCAGGAAGTTCGGTCCTGTCGGAGCTGTGCCACACTGGTTACGGCTGGTGGGCTTCCTCTTCACCACCTTTGTGAAGCCATCCTCGTCGCACTGGACCGTCTGCCTCTGTGGTTTTGCAACTTCAGAGACAGGCACACGGAAATTGTTTTTATCCTTAGCCGATTGCCGCCGCTCGAATTTCGAAGTGGCGGGTCGGCTAGTTGAAGCGGCTACAGCGGCTACAGCGGCGTATGCACGTGTCGGGGTTGACGTGCACACGCGTGACATTTCCACCGAGGCAGAGGGGCGGGCAGCGGGGCGCGGCGCATCATGCGCGGTGGCAGCAACGAATGGTGACGCATTGTGTGCCGACTCGAAACTGCTGACCGAGGCATTCAGCGCAGCTCCGCGTCGTGTGTTTACATTAGAGGCTTCTGGTGACCTACATACCGAAACAGCATTGCTTAATAACGCAACTTGGGTACGCAGCTCACTTATGATGTTATCCGAAGCCTCTAATTTACACTGTACTTCGGCTAGGCTAGACTTCAGGGACGTAATGTCCTTCAGCAGCCTAGTAACATCGACGTGGTCGAACGTGACGGGGGGCAGCTTGTGCAGCTCCTTCGCCACGAATGTAGGCACGTCGTCCGGGTCAGTCTCCTTCAGCAGCGTGATGATGTCTTGGAGACTCTTCACGCCTCCATCCCTCCGGCGAGATGGCATCTCTTCGGCTTTACCGAGACGCTGGAAAAGCAGCATCTTGCCACTGCAAATCTCATCTTCACTGAAATTTGATTTGCATATCTGCACTATGCTGACTTCATCCATGGTGTCGATAGCGTGTACAATGAACGCCAGGAGCTCATTGGCAATGAGTTGCTGGGAATTCATTGTCAATTACGCGCAGCGGCTTGTGCCGCTCGAAACACGAGTTAGGTGTAATTAACTCACTTCGTCGTGGCACGTCCGTTTCCGAACGCGCATTGCTACGGACTGAATGGACTAAATGGGCCGAGAAACTGAATTACAGAAATAGATACATGAAGGGTGTAGACTTATAAATTATTACACATGATTTAACTTATTAAATGATTACAAACGTAGTAAAGAACCAGAATTAGCGATTATTCGCGATGGAATTTGGAACAGCTCCGACTGTTGTGGCGGTCGAGCTGGGAGTGACCGTGGTACGAAAACAAAATGAGAAAGTGAAGGAAGATGCAACAATTCAAGTTTAAATACGTGTAAAATAAAACAAATGATAGGATACAAGCGGAGAGAGGCGATATAAAGTGGTGAGATGACGGTGTAAGGAGGTCACACCGTCACAATACCCGGGGGGCCGGAGAAAAAAAATCATTCAGGATTTTTTTGAAGTATAATGGTAAAGAGAAAGAAATGGAAAAAGAATAAAATAAGAATAGTGGTAGAGAAGGGATTAGGTAAGTGTAAAAGTAAGTGTAAGTAAAGGAAGGAAGTGTGTTGTAAAGTTGACTTAGAGGACTACGTCACGTGTTATGTACTTTTAAGTAAAGGAAAATAATTAATAAGGACGGTTATTTTGGGCTCATAAGAG